GATCATTCTCTCTCCAGCTCCATTTCTGTCACCGAGTCCATGTTTTCCAACTACTGAATCTTCCTCTTTGTTCCCGACTTTTGCATTCCAGTCACCCATTGCTATAGGTACAAATTTTAAAATGAGCCAATCTTATTGCAGCTAACATTGATTTCATCTCATAGTGACCCTGTAGGACAGGGCAGAACTGCCCCGTGAAGTTTCCAGGGCTGTAATCTTCACAGAAACAGACTGCCACATCTTTCTCCTGTGGAGTGGCGCGTGTGTTCACACTGCTGACCTTTCAGTTGGCATCTAAGAGCCTGACCATTGTGCAACTGGGCTAAATATTTTATTCTGTTAATATAAGCAACACATTAGAATGTTAACTAAATTTTACCAAACCAAAACTCTGGTGAGAATGACATTGCTTCACAATTTGATTTTCATATTTGCTGGTGAAAGGAATTGTACTGCCAGCTCAAAGATACATGGTTTGAGTCCAGCTGCCTCATAGGAGAAAGATGGACAGTCTCCTCTTGTGCAATTTACTGCCTCTGAAAACCCATTGGAGGGTCAGCTATGAGTCGGTTCTAACTCAATAGCACACAACAACAACAACAACAACACACACAACCTCTGCTGAGAAAAGCAGAAGGTGAGTGAGGAAGACCATCAATGAGATGGAGTTACACAGTCACTGAAATATTGGGTTTGAGACTGTGAAGATGGTGCAGGAAAGGCAAGATTGTGATCCATGTTCACTGTGAATTACAGTAAACTTTATGGCGACAACAACCAAAAACACCCACTAAAATCCACTGCCATCGGGTTGATTCCAGCCCACTACAACTCTGTAGGACAGAGTTAAATTGCCTGTGGGGTTTTTGAGTCACTACATCTTAACAGAAGCAGATTGTCCCATCTTTCTCCTGACGAGCAGATAGAGAATTCAAGTGGCGAGCAGCTGAATTCTGTGACCACTATGCCACCAGGGGTCCCACAATTTGTTGTGACAAGCTCAATTTAAGTTCATAAATAAAATATAGCCTTATACCACATTATTAATCTTATACCATTAGTATCTTTCTCAGATAATTGTACATATTTTCTTTTTTTACTTTATTACACCTTTATTTTTTAATTAATTTTAATGAACATTTACAGAGGCTTTGGATTTCCATTCATTCATTATTGCATTTTTCTCCCTGCCCACCCCTCCCATCAATTCACTTGTCTCTTTGAAAAGCAAAAGAAAAATTCTTTCATTGTTATACAATCCCTCACCCCAAGTGCACTCCACTATGCAGCCTTCATTCTGGACTCCTGTCATGATAATAATACTTAATCATATATCGTTTTTATTTTAGAACCCTAACTTGCAAGTCATGTTTTTTAAAATTTAATTGCATGTCAATGAATTGTAAGGACTTTGTTACATTAAAATTCAAGAAGGATCAGTCTAATATTTTGAAGAGATTGCATAACCCATCCATGATTTTGTAAAATCATATATCAGCCATTTGGCAAAAGATAGTTGGCTGACTAATAGAGATCTTCCAACTGTTGGCATGTTTAATTACATATGCTGAAATCCACCCCCACATTTGTTAATAGCAGTCTCAGCAGAAAAATCTTTTTGTATTAGAAAACTGTTAACTCAAAGTGCCAATACAAGTTTTCTAAGATGCCAATTTTTGCTGAAAGCTCAAATTTTATCACTGGCAACAAATATTGTCGATTTTTCCCTTGAAATGACAGGCTCGCTGTTCATTTTCAAGTAACACTTGCTGACTATACTTTGAGAACCTTTATGCTAGAACACAACAGCTGAATATCAGCTGTGCTCCTGAATGGCATAGGACTGGTTGCAAGATTTAATTACGTCAGACTGTAAAAATATGTTCTGTTAACACATATTTGGTCCAATTAACTTCGTAAAATGTATGTGAGTTGTACACAAATACAACCCTGTGCTTTAAAAGAGCTAAGATCTATGTTCCTTGTTAAGATGGCAAACTAACACAAACATTATGGTTCCTTTCTGCAAACCCAACTCTGCAACATCAGAGCAAAAGGACAGTTTCAAGAGCTGAGAAACTGGCATAAACACAGTAGAAAGGGGTTGGGCCACTCTCTTTCTGAGCGTGTGTTATGATTGGGGAGGGTGAAAAGCCATGTTTTACAGGAAGAGCTTTTAATTGCACCCTTAAGTCACCCTGATGTTTGTAACATACCGAGTCGCTAACAGAGAGATTGGTGTTCCAAATTCACAAGCTGTTCCACGAGAAAAAAAGCACTCTCTTCCAGTGATTTACAGAATCAAATTGACGGTCATGATTTTGTTTGTTGTTGGGGTTTTGGTTTTTTTGTTTTGTTTTGAAAAAACCCCTCCTTCGTCTTCCCTTCTTTGCTACCGTTGAAAAGCAGGAGACTATAAGCATTAGTCCAGCACTAATCAGCAATCTGCATTAATGCAGTTGACACAGTCTCGCTTGCTGAAAGTGGAGAAGACTCAAAGCACTTTCAGTAGAAGGTGAAAGACTATAGTCTTCAAGTTGGATTGCATCTTAACTTCAAGAAAACAAAAATCCTCACTGCTGGATCAATAGTCAACATATTGAAATAGATGATGTTGTATTGAGATAGACGGAGAAAAGAAGAAAGTTGTAAACAGTTTTTTACTTAGATCCACAGCAACCTCCACTGTAAGAGCAGTCAAGAAATCAAAAGACATGTCACACTGGGAAAATCTGCTGTCAAGGACCTCTCCAAAGCACTAAAGAGCAACAATGTCAGTTTCAAGACTAAGGGGTTCCTGATCCAAACCATGATCTTTTCAAGTACTTGGAATGTTTCTGAAAGTTGGAAAATGAGTAAGGAAGACTGAAGAAGAATGTTCCATGAATGACTGTCAAGAGACCCAACAATTGTGTCTTGGAGGATACATCCAGGATAGTCCTTCGACGCAAGGATGGTAAAACTTGGTCTCACGTACTTTGGGCATGTTGACAGGAGGGGCCAGTCCTTGGAAAAGAACATCATACAGGGAAAGTTGGAGAGTCAGGGAAAGAGAAGAAGACCCCTAACTAGACGGATTGGCACGGTGACTGTAAAGTGGGCTTGAGCATATCAAGATAGGGATGATGGTACCAGATAGGGCAAGGTTCAGATCTGTGGCTGTTCACAGGGTCACTATGAATTTGTGATTGACTATGACTACAATTACCTTGTGCGCAATTTGACTTGGTCCTATATGGTTGCTATAAGTCAGAATCAATTGAATGACAGCCCTTCCTTCCCTCCCTCCCTCCC